TTGCATTATCATGTAGTTATTGCCATTATTTGCGATTATAATGCATTATAATGGAATTTTTTCAACTATAATGCACTATAATGGCAAATAATGGTAATAATTACATGATAATGCAACGAGCAGCTTTCATGGGTTATAGCTATCCCTTCATTAACAATATGTGAACAGAAGACTCAATTTTCTCAGCTAAATCTTTTTGAATGATTTATTGAACATGAGACACTAACTACTCTAATCTATTTTTTATAGAGTACCTTAGGAATCAAAGTGTATGATCGATTTTGATCTCTGCAACTCAAAATTTAGGTTTCTAGACGCAAGCATATTTTAGCAAATCCAAAGACAATAAATCATTAAGAAAATAAATTTGTAAGCTTACAAAATATTTCTCAAGAATTAATTTTTTTTAAAAGGTAAAGAAATCTTGTTAGAATCATTCTAAAGCAGACTGCTCTCATATTTTCTGTAATTGTATGGCAAAGTATAAATCGTAATCGAAGAAAAAACATGCTCTCCATTTGGATTAAACAGATTTCATACATACTTGACTTGTCTATTCTACGAACCATTCTATCTGAGCCTCACAAGTATTACAGCGCGATCACTTCGAGGTTCTCAGCACTCGTTGCAGACTTATTTCGCGATGAATACATTCATAAAGATTAATGATAAATGCATGTACATGGTTGCTAAGAATGTTTTGCTCGGTGAAGCGGGTGGTACAGCTTCAACGACAAATGCTATTAATATTGAATTTTATACCAGATGAAAGCCTTTTGTTAATGTCATAAAACTCTTATCTTTCTCTCAAACATTGCTATCAATAACCACTAGATACCAATATGTATCTTTCTTCACTAGAGTTCTGTTGGCTTTTGTCTGTAACACACATGTATTCTCTATACCTCTTACTAGTATTTAACCCTCACTAATATATATATATATATTAGTTGGCATGCTTATTATGTTCATTCTAATAAAATTCTATTAACATTTCACAAGTGTGCATTTGTCATATAAAAGCCTTCTTAATTTGAAATTGATTACTTTAACTCACATTATGGTTGTAAGTTATGACAACGAACAGCAGAGAATCACCAACCGAATAAAATGTGTTGCTTTTCGTGAGGCTCGTGAAGTTGCTGCATATTTATCACTCGACATGATTTGCTTTTTAATGCTAGGAAAAGCTGAATGAAGAATGCTTTGCAGATTATTCAGTGTGCTACCGTAACCTCAAGTTATCGAAAGATAGTAAAAATATTACACCCAATGCAAGCGATAAACAGAGAAAAAGTTCCTCCACTCTAGCAAGAGAAACCGCCGAGAGACAGAAGGTGTATCTTGTCCGATGCACCATCGATAATTATCGACACAGAGCAGTATTAAAGCCTTTTCATGTTATTCGAAAGTCGTTGGAAACGGAAACGCACGTTTCAGATCTTTAATAACTTTGTGATTGGTTAAAAAGCTGCGCTGAAAGGAGTTTTTCATTTAGTTAGTGGGCAAGCCGAATCATCAAAGTACTAGAGTTTAGGTCAGATGTGCAGAAGATATTGAAAAGGATCAAAGAAATCATGAAATAGTAAACAATCAAATATACTTTGATATTTTTATCATTTTCACTCCAAAAAAATAACATTGGGTAGTGCAAGATATAGGTGAATCCTGGACTAGTTAATATTTTCGTGGTATAACTTTAATTCAGCACGTTTTTTCTTTCTTGAACCACGAAGAAAACATGATCGAAGTATATGAAGTCATATTTATTCATGATAAAGTGTCATGCATAGAAGCAAATAAGACTCAACAATTGATACAAGATAGAAATATTTGATCCGGAAACTCACCCGATCTCAATATAGCTGCATATATTAGAAGAGTAATCAAAGATGAAGTTGAAAAAAGAATGTTATCAGAGACTGTAAGTGATCGGTGTGATGAAGAAACGCTGAAAAATCACATCATCAATGTCTTGCAAAACACGGAAATAGATGCAGATCTTTTTGAAAACCGTTTATGTTCATATTGATCAAAAGCACGTGCTGTGAAAAAAGTCAACGGAGGTCTCATAGACTATTGATTGTACTAATGAACTTCAGAAAATATAATCAAATCTACCAATTAAAATTCATATAAATTTCAAATGATACCTCTTGAACGCAAATTTTCTGAGTAGTTTATGTTTCCTTACTCTAAACATTTCAGTAAACCTATGGTCATCAATCGAATTACCATTTATACCTGCTAAATCCATTTTTGACGAGCTTTCGTATGAGATATAATTGAATATTGATATCATTTGCCGCTGGAGCTGTGCTTCCCAGGGAAAGTATTTTTGGCAACCCTCTATAAATTAACTTATCCTATCAGTATTTTTTCAAAGAAAGTTGGCTTATTTATTAAAACTCGTCTACTTCATCAATGTGGAAATATTTCATGGGAAAGTAGTATTTACTCAATAGAGATACTTGGCTTATCTTTAAAAAACTGAAAATCATCGAAATTAGAGAAGAAGATCACCAAACTACAACTTCTTCATTTTGTCGTGGCCAACTATGATTGCAGGAGCTTTGTTTCATGACATGTAACCCTGTCATTTCTCAAAATATTTCAGGTGTAACTTTCATTTACAATTTAAGTCAAAAGTTTTACACCACTGTTGAATTCTAAGTCAACCTGTCCAATCGTGACAGAATCACGTTTTTTCATTTTGTATCTTGAATATCTCAAATTAATGAAATTGAATGAAGCTGAAACTTTCAGAGTATATTCAAGTTTCAGTGCTCTACATGCCCTGAAACTTTCATAGGATTCGAAACTTTCCCGAGAATTTTATAATTAAAATATAGGTTCGTTACGGAATCGCCAAAAGTGGCATTCGAGATTGAGTCCCATGTGAAGAACTGGATAATTTAGCTCAACTGAAACTGCGAAGAAAAAACTTTCAATAGGAAAGTTATAGCGGAGTTGACATTCTATATGTAGAAAAAAAGAAAATTTAAAATATATCCAAGTATGCCTTTGAATAGTAGAAAAATTTTCGTAAGGGAATCACTTCTTTAAAATGTTCATGCTTGTTTAGTGTCTACTTCTTAAGAAATTTATCTATTATTTCCGAAAATGAACACATTTTTATTAGTCATAGAGGTGAACAAAATGAATGCCAATTCTGGTCATCGGGACTAGGATAAAAAAACCTTAACTATACCGTGCCGAGACCCAAACCAAAGCTAAAGTGGTCCAGCTTAGAGTAAGAAAGAGAGACTTTCGTAGTCCAGTAAAGTAGACCTAAGTTACAGTTGTAGTGAAGAAATTAAAAAAATGAGTATTGTAGGAACATTAAAAATGTGAGAAAACAATGCTGCAACATGTTTCTCTAAATAGGCACAGGCTGTAGATTAGTTAGAATCGCGTGACCGAAATAAAAAAATGAAACTTCACCCGGACAGAGACCTAAACCACAATAAGTGTGCCGGGACTTTGGCCGGGATAGGGACCACAAATCATGTTGCCGCGTGTATCCCTAATTACTCGTGAGAAAGTAATCAAGAAAAGTCATTTTACATTGTTCGTTCTGGTAAGGTAAAAATTCGATTTCACAAGTATGAGGCGCATATCAAATGTCACCCCTAAAATAGCATCTTCAATGGCAGCAATAAAAATAATTTGAAACCTTCAGAAATCAGTTTAGGAATAAAGCAGTGAGGCTCTAAAATCCCATAATCTATATAAGAATATAGCCAAGATGCATCATAAGAGAAAACAATGTTTTTATTTTTTTAGGAAAGCGTATTTGTTCGACCCAAAGGTGATTCCGTCACGCTCTCTGTAACGAAATAAGGATTCATATCAAAAGCCAACTAGTTCTGTGGATAGAACAAAAAACGTCAGCGTTAGAGCACTCATTCTTAGAACCATAAATATCTTGGCTTCGGCTAAGAATGAGTTACAGCATATTTTCGTTACGGAATCACAATCAAAAATGGACTAATTTTGAAATATAAATATTTTTCTTCGGGAACAACAAATACTTGGATCTCTTCTTATAGTTAAAGAACCTACTCAGCATAGTTTTAAAGATGTGATCTACTTTGAAAAATATCGTATCTGTCTGCATGAAAAAACACAAAATAAAAACTCTCGATAAGTATGTATATTCATCGATACAGAGGGATACTTGTTTAACAATATTTTTCTCCTAAAATATATACAGCTACTGAGATAAAAAAAAGATACACTTTTATGTACTATCGACAATGCTCTACCATATGGTTATATTTATTTTACTGAATTTTGAACTTCAACTTTGCCTACAAAGTTGGACCGCTACATGGACAAGTCGAAGTCGTATATTAAATTTACATGAGACTACTTTAATTTGTTTAGATGCCTATGTAGCAGAGGTCAAGTATTATCTATTTGTTCATTTACTTAATAAGAAAAGTTCATGAATATGTACTATACCATAAGAGTGATCTTGTAGTTTTCTATGTAATTTTTTTCTGGTCACTCAGGTTTGCTAGGCTTTGTTGGGATTTATACTGAGGAACTTTTTCTATTAGTTAGATATCAATATGTATGAATATGTTGCGGACAAAATTGAAATTTTAGTCTTCTACGAACAGAATAAAAACTAATGTTGTCCAGTAATCCTTCAAATAGAATTGCAATTTGCACAGATATGGATGTGAGTGCATGAGGAAGTCAGTACGGAATTGGTTGTGTGAGTGAAGGGAGAAACAGGAAAGCAGACATACTAAATCGTACCAATTCAAAATTCAACTTTGCTCGCAACAAAGTCATAGTACTCAAACTCGACTATATACGTATATAATCAAAATTAATCAATTCTTATGCACGTTTAGTAATCGGCTCCAAACAAAGCACTGTTCCGAGACTTTGAGGTCAACTATAGTTTGAAAATTTCTACACAAGATGTAGTTTAACAAATTTCATATTTTCATAGTCTTTCGTAAAATCTCTGCGAGAATTAGTATTTAACATTTATTTAGCTTATTGCTTACCGGTAGTTGTTGTTTTTGTTGTTGTTGTTGTTGCTGTGGTTGTTGTTGTGGTTGTTGTCGTTGTTGTCGTTGTTGTTGTCGTTGTGGTTGTTGTTGTTGTTGTAGTGCTGGTGCTGGTGGTCGTTGTCGTTGTTGTCGTCGTTGTGGTTGTGGTTGTAGTGGTGGTCGTCGTCGTTGTCGTTGTTGTTGTCGTCGTGGTGGTTGTCGTTGTTGTTGTCGCAGTTGTTGAAGTTGTCGATGTCGTTGTAGTTCCCCCCTCTTGATTACAGAAGAAGATTTCTTTTTATTAGATCAAGATAATTTTGACTCGACAAAAAATTCTTCTCACTGAGACTGGAGTGACTAAAGAGCTTTGGTTAGCAACCCTTTGACTAGCGGTCGCAAAGATGAGTTATCGTTATGATTGTGATTACTGTGATAATTAATATTTTCATTCACGAAAAAGGATATTAATTTGCTGTCAGTAGAATGTTTCTGACTTGTTGAAAAATTATTACTTTCACTATTATACAGTTTTCTTCTACGTTGAAGAATTTATTACTCTACCAACGTTGTTGCATTGACCAGTCAACTTATGGGTTATCCCATATTCTTTGAAACGTATACATTTTCTGAACACAATCGAAAAGTCTATTCTTTATCATTCTCTAAGTATTCGAAATTCTTTAGCAGATCTGTAGATTCAACATGCTGGAAATATTATTCATTCTTATGTGTGAATATTCTTGCTATTTTAGTTCGTGGCGTGATTATAATTCTTTTCAAGGATCGAACCCATGAAAAAAAGTCGAAAATATCTACATAAACTGAATCAAAGATACTTAGTTTTCGAGCACTTATTTCAAGCATTAGCGAAATGTTGACTGTTTGTATCCTATTGAAAAAATGCAGGGATTTCTGAGAAACATTCGAAGTGTTTTATTTGTAATAAGCTAGGGTGTAACTAATTCTAGCTCTTCCTACTCTCTAGCAAAAAAAGGAGTTTTGCAGAACTCACCAAAAAAGCTCTGATTGAAAACATTTCGCTGATTCTGATCGAATTATTCTGGAGCAAAATAAAAATAAAAATAGATTGATGATTTTCATTATTTTCGATTGTGACTTAATCATTACTTGACTTGTCCAGTATCATCGGACACTGAACTTTTGGAAAGATTACATATTATAGTTTGGGGCTTTTGAAAAGAATGTTTACGGTTCCGTTTTCTTCAACAAAATTCCTTTTTTCAAAGAGTAGAGATGTCCAACTCTAGTTCTTACCAGTATATTCGTCAAAGCATCAAAGAGAAGAGCCACACGATAAATATTCTTCTTTCTTTTGTTCACTCAAGCCTTCACCATGTTCAAAACCACCCAAACCCAAAACTTTATTTTCTAATACTCTTTGTTCGAAAAAGCTATTCAACATATCATTCAAAATGCTTCATATTGTGTCATCAGTGATAGATAATTAAAATCTGAGCAAAACAGCTGTCTAA